TTTATCTTCTGATGACATCAATAGTAACAGACTATGGAAACTGGTCCTTAAACCGTTTAGTTTCACATTTCTCTTATGTTTTATCTTCTGATGACATCAATAGTAACAGACTATGGAAACTGGTCCTTAAACCGTTTAGTTTCACACTTCTCTTATGTTTTATCTTCTGATGTCATCAGTAGTAGCAGACTATGGAAACTGGTCCTTAAACCGTTTAGTTTCACATTCCTCTTATATTTTATCTTCTGATGACATCAGGAGTAGCAGACTATGGAAACTGGTCCTTAAACCGTTTAGTTTCACATTTCTCTTATGTTTTATCTTCTGATGTCATCAATAGTAGCAGACTATGGAAACTGGTCTTTAAACCGTTTAGTTTCACATTTCTCTTATGTTTTATCTTCTGTTAAATATATTTAACACGTCACAGCGTGGATAATGTAATATGCCGGCTTGTTTCAACACGTCACAGCGTGGATAATGTAATATGCCGGCTTGTTTCAACACGTCACAGCGTGGATAATGTAATATGCCGGCTTGTTTCAACACGTCACAGCGTGGATAATGTAATATGCCGGCTTGTTTCAAGGCAGAAAATACAGAATCTAGTCATTGTAAAATTCCAAAAAATAAATGATGATCCAAGCAAATGTTGAATGATGTTTAACCCAACCATTTTATCAATTTTCTATCTTTCCAGTTATACAGAACTTTATATAGGACAAAAGTTACAGCACGTATATGGATTTTATACGATCGTCACAGTTTACAGCACGTATGTGAATATTATACGATCGTTACAGATTACAGCACGAATGTAGATTTTATACTGTCGTTACAGATTACAGCACGTATGTGAATATTATACGGTCGTTACAGATTACAGCACGAATGTAGATTTTATACGGTCGTCACAGTTTACAGCACGTATGTGAATTTTATACGGTCGTCACAGTTTACAGCACGTATATGGATTTTATACGGTCGTCACAGTTTACAGCACGTATGTGAATATTATACGGTCGTTACAGATTACAGCACGAATGTAGATTTTATACGGTCGTTACAGATTACAGCACGAATGTAGATTTTATACGGTCGTTACAGCTTACAGCACGTATGTGAATTTTATACGGTCGTCACAGTTTACAGCACGTATGTGGATTTTATACGGTCGTCAGAGTTGTTTAATTAATTCAAATATATTTGTTTGCCAGTAATATTTTCTAACAATCTTTTCACCGTCTGAACTCTGACTATGGGAAAGTTTTACATGAAAAAAATACGTAAAAAATAGCAGAGGAGCATTAATAATTAAACATTATGACAAACATTTTCTGTTTTAAATATTTATTAATATTTTATATTTGACAAAATAAGAGTAGGGTGGAAACTGTGTTTTGATATTCTTGTTTTCTTCCGTGTTAGTTCTCAGAATAATTAACTGATAAACTGTAAGTTCATAGACTTACAACGCTGAAGTTCGGGGTTCAATTCTCCGCGGTGGTCGGAGCGCACATAGCCCACTGTGTAGCTTTGCGCTAAAAAAATAAGAACAAATCAATTCGGTAGAAACGTTAAAATAAAAACAAATCAATGAGGTAGAAACGTTTCCTTCTTTAACAAGTAAAGTCACGTGTGCACTTAAAGTAACAACGTGAGATTACAAACAGTGGCGACACCTTCAGTTAATGCGAAAACGAAATTTAAATAATAAAAAATATCCATTTTGTGAACCATGTTGTAACTATATTAAATCGTGTATGGCACGCGATACTCTCGAGTGTGGAACGTTCCAAGCACAGTATGTGTAGTGTAAACGATAGATTTTTAACGTCCTTTGATTTAATACTCTTCTAGAGATATCGTATTTGAAAAACTCTATACATATCCCGAAAATAATAATAATAACCACAAGTTCGTTTAAATTTCAGTGTTTGCATCAAAATTACACACACACCTTTGAAAATTGATATTTAAAGCATTAATTTTAGAATATTCCTAAATAAAAACGTGCGTGGAAATGTGATACAAGCACTATGGGTCAAGCACTATTCAGAGGTTATGAAGAATTCAAGCAATATTTCAAGAGTCTATCACAACAATATTTAATTAACACAACAATACTTACAAAAACCGTTCATTTTAATCTCTTTCTCTCCCTACGAATATGTTGTTTTAAACACAAACTGAAAACAAAATAATATTCACAACGTTCAACACTAATCTCTCCCTATCGAGTGTGGAAGTTTAATACATAACCCGAATAAATAAATTATAACCATTGAATTCCTTGTAAAGTTGTTCCAGTGGTAAGTTTACGGACTTACAACGCCAGAATTCGGGGTTCGATTCCCTGCAGTTGAAGCAGCAGATAGCCTAATGTGGCTTTGCTCCAAGACAAACAGTCTAAAAAACTTATATTTGGTGGGAAAATGTTATAAACAACCCGATAAAATAACAATACTGTCAACAACTTTAGTAGTAGTCTTAAGTTGACGTGTCTAAAAAATATGTAGTTTATTACAAGAATTAGATTCTCTTTTCATATTGTCCCACCAAACATGCTCGCCCTTTCAGCCGTGGGGGGTGTTATAATGTGACGATCAATCCCACTATTCGTTGGTAAAAGAGTAGCCCAAGAGTTGGCGGTGGGTGGTGATGACTAGCTGCCTTCCCTCTAGTCTTACACTGCTAAATTAGGGACGGCTAGCGCAGATAGCCTTCGTGTAGCTTTGCGCGAAATTCCAAAACAAACAAACAAACTAACTTTTCGTATTGTGGATATTTTATAGCAGGAAGTTGATTGGAATGTACGTTTTTACCTGCAGTAGTATTTTTGAATCTGGGGTAATGTTTACTGAGACAGACTGTGAATCAAAGCACGCTTTTAGACCGTGAGTGCGTTATAAGAGTATTAGCAAAATCTCAATTTTCGATCACAGTAGACCAAGAGTTGGCGGTGGGTGCTGTTGACTAGTTGCTTTCCATCTATTATGTCTTCTCAAAATTACAGGCGGATTTATCTTTATATCCGAAACAAACCAATACCAAACAAAGCATGATGAGATGTAATGTACATGTAGTTTGACCCCCCCCCCCAATAGTGGCACAGCGGTATGTCCGTTACTCGTGATGGGCACTGCACAGGTAGCCCATGTGTACCATTGGGCATAACTACAAACAGGTAGTTTCATGGTGAAGGCTGCTTCTGTGGCAGAACTATGAATTTCGGAACTTGCAGGCCAAGCTTGAATCCGTGCAATACCTCAAAATATTCCAGCACTTTTTGTTGTTTTGATAGTCATTCTTTAAGCATAGATATTGGGTAGTAGGGCGCTGCTGATTGAGTTTCTTCTCTCTGGTCAGTAGTTCAAAATAAAGGATGACGGCAGACAGTTAGTAGGGCGCAGGTGATTGAGTTTCTTTCCTCTGGTCAGTAGTTCAAAATAAAGGATGACGGCAGACAGTTAGTAGTGGCGCTGCTGATTGAGTTTCTACCCTCTGGTCAGTAGTTCAAAATAAAGGATGACGGCAGACAGTTAGTAGGGCGCAGGTGATTGAGTTTCTTTCCTCTGGTCAGTAGTTCAAAATAAAGGATGACGGCAGACAGTTAGTAGGGCGCTGCTGATTGAGTTTCTTTCCTCTGGTCAGTAGTTCAAAATAAGGGATGACGGCAGACAGTTAGTAGGGCGCTGCTGATTGAGTTTCTTTCCTCTGGTCAGTACT